AGGAGGTCTCTTGTTCAGGCAGCATTCAAGCGTTGGCTTATTCGACCGTAAGTGCCCTGCGAAGTGGACTTCACATGAAATTCCGCCATGATGCCAGTTCCAAGGGAACGTACACATTACATTCAAAGGGCATTAAAGTGCGCGAGACGTGGATTTATATTGTATTTATTTACAGAGGTAGTGGAGAGCGGGGCACAAAGTAACACTTTTTGACTTTCTCAGTTTGTGTAAATCCACATGGGGTTCAGAATATATATATTTTTTATCCATAGTAATTTTACACTTGTCTAGTACATATGTCGCTTTGTTTCATAATTACAGTGTATACGTTTTTCTTTATTTACCCTCAAAAAATGGAAGTGAATTGTGACAACATGCCCCGTAGGTGGAACACATTGTAACATCTGAGGGGCACGTTGTAACTTGACCATATGACAGCTTAAAATCTTATATGATCGAATGAATATATATATATATATATTTTATTATTTTTTATTTATTTATTTATTTATTTTTTCAAATAAAATAATGGCGATTTTTAAGAATTAAAAATAATCTGATTTTGGAGTTTGACAATGAACACATTGCAACCATGCTTGGGACGGCCCACATAAACGAGCAAAAATGCTTTACATGTCTTGAAATAATACTGAGATAAAAAATTTACTTAAGCCAGAATTTAAATGTTACTATGGTAAAATAAATATTCAAACCATGTGTGTTACAACTAACACCCCGTTACTTTGTGCATCGCACTCATCGCAAGTTTATTGTTAAATTGTTAAATGCCCTTACATATCTCTGTCACTATTATAAGTGTTTGATCACCACATCTGAGTGATCATTGCAAAAAATGTGTTTATGTATATATATTCTGTTTATGTCTATACTGTATTCTATATATAGTACCAGTCAAATGTTTGGACACACGAATGGGAAAGTGTCCAAACTTTTGACTGGTACTGTACTATAATATACACAAAGAATATCGGCCGATATATCGGTATCGGCCCTTTTTTTACTCCCTAATATCGGTATCGGCTCCAAAAAACCCATATCGGTCGGGCTCTAGTTTTAATATCCTGAAAATGCTTCATTTTCATTCGCCATTTGCGTTATCCTGCATTGGTAACAAGCCTCCACAAACTTCCATAGTTGCAGTTGCTAGATGTCAAGTCCCCCAATTTTTAATGGATACATTCATAAATTAATACATTTTCTGACCACTGGTTTACTTAATTTTCCTAACATGGCAACCACGCGCACAAGCTCTCTTTACATTACTGAGAAAGCGCTGATGAGCTGAAAATACTGGCAAACACGTAAGCTGGAGTTTGTCGATCTCTATTAAGATATTCAGCTCAAATGAAAGTGTAATAAAGAGTGTTTTCTTTCACATGGCTATTTGTGCTGTTTGCTGCAAATAAATCTACAAGCAAACCATGAGCAAACCAAAAACTAAAACAACAATAATCGTGTTTAATAATCATGAATATATATTTGAGCAAAATAATTGTGATATACCATTATCCTGCAGCTTTACTTTTAAGGTTGTTCACTCTACACTCTTTATTCTTTAAAAAACTACTAACACTACAAATTACACTACAATAAAATATACACTGCCGTTCAAGTTTGGGATCAGTAAGATTTTTTTTTTTTTTTTTTTTTTAAGGGACTTGTGCTC